TAGATTTATGATTTTTAATACCTGGTTATATACCTGACAAACCTCCACTAAAGTAGTCATCCCTTCAACTACTTGGATGTCTCACTATGCTGTGGTCTTGACAGCTGTGCTATCCCAGTATAAGCTCTGGGGGTCCTTCCAAGACAGCTGGGCTTTATCTTTGGGCCTAGTGATAGGCTATGCATTGATTCTTTGAAGACCAGTCTAGGTAAATTGACTTACATGTGCTATATGTCTGTAGGGAAACATTTAGATCTGTAACCAAGCTGAACATGAAAGGTCTTAAAACTGGAAGGGGTCTTAGAAGTCTTCTACTTCTATCTTCCAACCAACTCAGGAAGGAATTTCTTTAAAACATCGTTGACAGGAAGTCGTCCAAATCTCTGCTTGGCTACCTCCAGGGTGCCTGCAGGATTTCATATTAGTTCCCATTTCTGCAAGAAAAAGGTTTTCTTGGTCTGGTCATCTAATTTAGATTGTATTTCAAGGATAGAAGTGGACATTTTATATTTGTGGGTTTATGTTTTAAGGACAGGAACTGTCTTTGCTTCTTTTTGCATCCCAATTACTGAGCATAGAGCCTGAAATATAGTAGACACTAAATAAATGTGTGTTGACTGATTCTGTCATTCAGTGTATTCAGATTTGTGTCATCTGAAAATTTGAAAAGGAAGGAAGGAAAGAAACATGCACGTACTAAACACCAAAGTATCCTATATGCCAGTGTGCTAATTGCTTTATAAATATTATCTCCTTTGATCCTCATACAACCCTGGGAGAAAAGTGCTATTATAATCCTTATTTTACAGATGAGGAAACTGAGGCAGAGAAAGGTTAAGTGATTCACCTGGGGTCACTGGATTTGAACTCAAGTATTTCTGACTCTATGCCCAGGGCTCTATCTACTGCGCTACCTAGGTGACTTCTATTTCTTTATACAAGCTGTTGACAAAAGTACCATGATAAATGTCATCAAAATGTCATTTTCAAAAAGAACTATCCAAAAATTGAGTTTGGTGTGCCTTAGGAAATAGTGGGTTCCTCCTTGCTGTAGGTCTTCAAGGAAAGGTTGATTGACCTCTTGTTGGGATTCTCATTCATGTATAGATTGACCTGAATGGCCTTTGAGGTCTCTTTTTATTTAGACCTTTTGTGATTCTGTTATGTTGAACAAGACCGAGCTAACAACCCACCTTGGTGACTATCTTTGGATATGCTATTTTCATAATTCACTATCTGGGGCACATAAAAATGTTTTCCATGGTTCTTCAGTTTGCTTTGCTAAACCCACATTTCCGATTTCAGTAGAAACATTTCTTTTTATTTTAATTGTGAAAACTAAGAAGAAATATTTAAAATTCTCCTCTCCATCCTATTTATGAGTTAACATTTATATAGTGCTTTAAAGTTTTCAAAGAGCCTTATAAATATTACCATATTTTATCTTCACAACAATCCAGGGAAATAGGTTATAATTAGCTCCATTTTACAGAGAGGCAGACAGAGGTAAGTAACTTGCCCAGGGTCACACATCTAATAAGTGTCTGAGGCTGGATTTGAATTCAAGTCTTCCTGACTCCAGGCCTGGTGCTTGCTCTACGTAGTGTGCTGCCTAGCTGCCCTCTCCACAAAGATGTTGGGTAAAAAAAAAAAATCATTGACCAAAAAAGAGGGAAGACTGAAAGTCAGTTACTTCCTTTTAAGTATAATTCTTCCTCCTTACAGATATTTGTGGAATTAACTTGTGTTTGCTTTTTAATATCATTTAAAATAGAAAAAAGTGTAAAAGGCAAGACCATGCCTGAGTCCAAATTATGCCCTGACTGACTCAACTCCAGCGACTGGGCGTATCTTCTTCAGCTGAAGTTCTGATTTCCCTAAAAACATTTTGCTATTGTTGTTGCTGGCTACACATACATGCAGATTTAAAAAAATCAATGTTAAAGTTACTGGTCCAGTTTTTATTTGATATGTTTCTAAAGTGCCCAAAATGGAACCTACTTCATCCACTCCCTAGAAACAACAGTTTCTATTCAGTGAAAGCAAATTTGGGTGTGAAACGCTAATAACAGAAATAAAATATCTTCCAATGTAGTTTTGTCTTCCAAGACATTGTCTGTCTGCTATTTCACTTACACTATTCTTACCTGCCTTCTCAGAGAAACATGTTATTCTGACAGGTTAACATTCACGTCACACTTCTCCCCAAAATGGAATTATTCCATTGCTCCACCAAGTGTTCTCACTAGGATATAAGGCCCCTTTGTTATAGCTGAAGCACATATATGCTTTTCTCTTTCCAGAGATGACATAGCAGGCGTCAACAAAATTGAAATCCTGTATGCAGGTAACAAATCTTCCATATAAAAAGTATTGGAGTAAATTCTTGAAGTCTGGTAATATTTGTATTCTTCACTCAGCTTAGGAAAAAATGAGTTCAAACACAATTAAGTTGTGCTGACACCATTTTTAGAAACATATACAGGAAAATCACTAAAAAAAAAGTCATAAATGAAGGTGGAAATCAAAATGTAAATTCACAAATTGAAAATGGCCACTTTGATCCTTGCAATACAATTTAAGTTTGATGACCAGGACAAGAAAACGGGACACATTCCTTTGTCTTGCAGGAATCTGCAAGGAAATTGCATATTTCCTTTATAAAAAGAAAACACGTAAAGACTTCATAAGGACATACATGGGGGGTTTCTAAGTGGCACAGTTTCAGGTTAAAGGTTTCTCTAAATCTCTGCTGCTTCCCAATATGTTTACATTTAAGAGAAAAATCACAACTTAATATGTAAAGCTCTTGTGCTTTCAGGGGCAGTATGATGTAGTTCTGCTATAAATAACTTAGATCTGAATCCCAGCTCTGCCACTAAACTATCTCTATGACCTTGGGCAAGTTATTTATTCTCTATGTGTCTCAGTTTCCTCAACTGTAAAATAAAGAGGCTGGACTGGATGACTTTTAAGTTTCCTTCCAACTCTATATTTGGGACTCTGCCATCCAATGGAGATCTGCATTGATCTCTGCTGTTTTGTATTCAAATTTCGGTTGTCTGAAGGATATTTTTTCTATCACTGTTTCCTGGAAATAATGCATTTTTAAAATTACATGCTAATTTTTCTTCTCTATCTACTCCTATCTGAAACATAAAGTGAAGGTTTCATGACTATCTGAACCTGTGAGAGGATAGAAGTTAACTAGAAAAACACAGGAATAGACAGGTAATAAACTAACCAATGACTGTGGGTAATTTGCTGCATCGACAAAAATATACCACTTGCCTGGGTGGAGAACATTTATTCCACTGAGAAAATGAGCAATGCATAAAAAAAGGGCTCCCCGAGTTCAAATATGAAAACATTTTGAAGTAAAGGGACATTTTGAAGTCTAGTTGCCTATTCCTCATGGATTAGAAATTCAACATATATGTGGACTTTGCCCAAAAGAGAATAAAGTACATTTCTCCCCCTATCTCTGATGAATTAGAAATTAAATGCCCTTTATAGATTTTACCTAAAAGACAAATAAGTTTTTAAAATGATTAGCCACAATGAAAGGTAAAAAAGGATTCTTTGGCTACTCTGTAGAGAAGACTGGGTACTGACAAAAAAAGTCAAAATTGAAAAGCTGACCCATTTTTTTTAGCACTAGGAATATTCTACTTTGTTTTGATCTGCCGGGACTTCTGTAAGATGACCCAGAGGATCAGAGACTTAAGAGGGACTTGAGGGGCCAGGCTAGTGGTTCACACAATTACAAAGGACCAGTACACGAGCTCTGAGGGAGACAGATTTAGCACAACTCCCTAGTTCAGGTTTTTGGGGTTTGCGGGGAATCTCCCAATGGATACAAACACTTCTGTCTTGGAGTCTGTAAGGTTTGAGAACAATTTTTCTGGATGACAGATCTCCAACCTGTGAAGCTAGAGTATGCTCTCAAGGAAACCCATGGCAGCTTCTTCAGAGAGACAAGGTTGACTACTCCATATAAGTAAACATGTATACATATACACATGAGTGTATATCATTCATATGTACACATATACATAATGGAGAGGGAGAGGCAGATTAATGATTATCAGTTGTTTTGTGCATAGATTCAACAAGTAAAAACAACACAGCAGAATCTATGCTATATATATATAGCACTGACCTCAAAACCAAGAAGTCCTAATTTCAAGCCCCACCTCTTGACACAGACTGGCTGGTTGACCCTAGGCAAGTAATTTAAACTCTCATAGCTCTAGGCAATTATCTAAGACTCTTAAGTTTCAGAGAAAGTGCTGATTTGCATTAGGAGAAGGAGTTTCCTCATGCTGGAGTTCCAACTACTAATGCAATCACAGGTCTACTCCCTATTCCCTATTCAACAAGCCTGAAAGTAAATTTCTAATTTCTCATCATATGGATATGGTATGAATTAACAGTGGTTTTAATCAACAATCACCTATTATATGCCAGGCACTGAAAGTAGAAATAGAAAGCCTGCCAAAATCTTTCAAAATAATGTATTTCAAACCTTCACTCATCAAAAAGTGAAGAGGAAGAATGATTTTCCTAATTCAGATTGATGAATAAACAAAGTTCCTTAAAAATGGAGAATGAACCTAATGTTTCCTGTGACAAGAAGAAATTTAGGATGTATTTTTCTTATCTCCATAAATGCCAAAGTAGATTCATCATACTCTACTAACTTTATGCCACGGACTTCACTTTACCTCTCACATAAAATAGCAGGAAAACTCTCTACATCCCACAAAACACCTACTGCCAGTTTTCAGACTCCTTGCTGGAATTATGTTCCTATATTTTTATGTAGTCTCTTCCTAAAAAGGTTTACCATATGGTTTTAGACATGCTTTCCATTGGTCAAATACGTATACACACATACACATGGACACATATAGGAGTACATCAATTATTTTCATAGGTATTCACAATTAACATACCCTTTTACTCATATCTGAAAGAATGATAACAAAGGAACTCACCATTTTCCCATCCATCCCTGGAGTGCCAGGTGCTCCAATAGAACCCTAATAGGAAAAATATAATTGGTTTAGGTTGATATTTAGATTATAAGATACTTTCATACTAAATTTAAAAGCTTGTATATCATGTCCTACCAAATGGCCTGTTCTAATGCCTCCCCACAGCATATTTCTTAGGGAATTTAACTAATGTCAAAGGAATCACTACAATGAGTAAGCCAAAAAAAAAAATTCTATCCACATAGGCCAAACCAAATGGATGAAGAACGTCTATTACCAAGATTTTTTGGATGGCCTTTAAAGCCTTTCCAACAATATGTGTAACTGAGACAGACAATATATATGGCCAAGGAGTTGGGTCCAACTACGAAAATGAGGTGAGTAGGCCAGATTGCTTTCAGGAAAATGTGATGGACCCCAACCTTCCCATAACAGTGAAAGCCCCCCTTTTTTCAATACAACTATATTGAAACTGTGGTTATCATATAGCAGTGGAAACTGAACTCTATTGTCCCTAAAGAACTTCAGATCACATAGAAGGTAATAGAGAGGTGTGTGGTGACTGCGAGCAGGCTATAATATATAACCGATGAGGAATTCTGAAGAACAGGGCTTAAAAGATATCATCAGAGAATTGTATGAAAGAAAGAGAAGATGGATTGGTCATGTAGCAAGAATGAGGGATGACAGGTGGACACTCAGAACACTTTGCCAGTACTCTTGTGAGGTTGAGAGAAAACGAAGGAAGTCTCTAACACAGTGGGTAGAACCCTTGTGGTGACCTCTGAGAACATGGATAAGAATCATACAAGAGGACTGGCATGGATGGATTGAAATCTGTATCGTGGGAGGGAACTCAAGAATAGATAAGATCCCTTTGAGTATATATTCTCATGATGGATGACAATGAAATTTACACATTTTGAATACAACATCTCAGCAGCCCTTGTGGTTTCTTAGGACGTAGAAATGGTACCTAAGAAAATGAAGCAAGGAATCTGGTTAACTATTTTTTGGAAGAAATCTATTCAAGAAGCAACACAAATGTAAAGGAATCCAGTGATCAGTTCTCCAAGATATATTTTTGATGGAAAGAATAATAAAAAGGAAAGCACCACGTGGTAAAATTACCCCAAAAAATGCTTACCAAGAAAACCACTACTAAACCATATGTGTACTTTCTCATCTATATGGAATCATAATGAATCTCAAAGTTCTTCTTGATAAAAACATGAGATAGGATGACTCTAAAACATTTTCATAGTAAAAAAAAATTGATTAATAGATAGGGAATGCAAAATTCTGGTTTATTTATTGTTGTGGGGTTTTTTTTCCCTTCACAATAAAGCAAAATAAAGCCTTAATGTGTGTCTTCCAATAGGGTGCCTCTTCTGTAGATGTTAAGATCATCTCAGATTCCTTGATACCACAGAGATACTGTTGCTCAACAATTCTTTGATGAATATCAAGTGAAACATGGAACATGTTCACCAAAGTTGTCCACCATTGTTACAGAATAAGTCTTACTCAGAATCCAAATGGATGAGGGATTCCCTCTAAATGGCAAGCTTTTCCAGATGTTCTTGTTTTTCAAACGCATTGAGATGATTATATCCTACTTCAGGGTCTTAATTATATCCATGAGCCCCTCCTTTGAGGTACTCCAAAGAGATAGGTCTAACAATCCACACAGCAAAAATCAAGTGAGTAAAGAATGCAAACTGCAAGGCTTGAGTTAGAGTTGAATGGGCAACCTGATGAATTAACCATCTGTATACACATTCTAAAGTAGTGCTGATGGATAATGTCAGGCTCAAAATTAAATAGGAGTAGATCAGGCTCGACTGCATTTGGGAAATTGCACTATACTTTAAGATCCCACATTTTCTCTATCACCAAAGCCCATCTTTTTTCTTTCTTTGAAATGACAGTTACTCTATATAATTGCAAATCCACCATGATCTCTGAAGAATCAAAACTGCAGATCACCCAAAAAGCCCTTGAAACATATGATGAGTATAAGTAAGCTGAAGCCAATAACCATCAATAACTCAGAGTAGTGGGGAGAGGGAGGGGGGAGAGAGAGAGGAAAAGAGGGAGACAGAGAGGGAGAGAGGGAGAGGGAGAGAGGAGAGAGGGAGAGAGAGAGAAGAAGAGAGAGAGAGAGAGAAGAAGAAGAAGAAGAGAAGAAAAGAAGAAGAAGAAGAAGAAGAAGAAGAAGAAGAAGAAGAAGAAGAAGAAGAAGAAGAAGAAGAAGAAGAAGAAGATCATTCAGTGGAGGAGGGCCACTCCATCAACCCCATTTTGGGTTTTCTTGGTAAGGGTACTGAAGAAGTTTGCCATTTCCTTCTCTTGCCCATTTTACAGATGAGGAATGGAGCCAAACAGGGTTAAGTGATTTGCCATAAAGATACATGGAGATAACTTTTAAAAGGCAAAAACTCCTGCTCTAATATGGCATCAACTCTACTATCTCAATGGGGTATTTCTTTTCTTCTTGGTGAGTTTTCTTTTTCACCTCTATGAAATGTCTAAACCTAGGGCTACTTATTTCCCATGTCATCTGTTGGCCAATGCATGATCATGTAATGATATTTTTCATGCTTCCTTAGAAACTAGAAAATTAAAATCAAATACTGTTTTTATTCTCCACGAGTCAAGCACAGTAATCCTGTTAAATTTAATATGTGATCCTAATAAAACAATCCATAGCTTAGATTGAAATCCAAATGTGCCAGCTGGTGACACTGATCTATCTGTAGTGCTTGCAGGAGATGTCAGCAATGGCTTAGTGTAGAAAAATTTAACAAAAACAACTCTTTTAAGATGCATGAGTTTCAGTTACATGAAACAAAAGGTAACAAACAAAAATAAACTCTGTCCCATACTGGAACCAATAAAATGGCAAGAGAGAAAGAAGAGTTAAGAAGAACATGGGAATTGAATGATATTTGTTGGGGGGGGGGTGAAGCAAATACTTGCATTATATTAAAATTCTCAGTATTCACAGTAACTTTTTCCCTGGATTTACAAAGACTAAAACTAGATGTCAGTATTTAGACCATGTGAATATATATTGAGTTTTGAAACGGTAATGTGTGAGAGGGCAAGAAATAGAGCCATTAAATATTACCCAAAGCAAAGTTATGGTATCTAGTCAGGCACAGAAAGACATTAAGAAATATTTTTAGACATTCCTTTCACTTCCCCGCTCAGAGTATACCCTCCTGCCTAGGCTGTGGATAAGCCATGTTTTAAATTCAGCTTGCACATTCCTTTCCTGGCACCAGAAAACAAACAGATTATTTTTTTCTTAGCATCTGTAAAATGTTAAGATGGTTTTATTTTAATTGAAAAGGATTTCATTAAAATATAACTTCTTTTGCCAAATGATTTGAAGATTTCTGAAGGACAGTGATGTAAAAAGTCACTTCCTCTCTTTACTGTTAATATTGTATGTGTTATTAATGGACTTCCTAAAGACTGAAGAAGTAATTTTGTCCCGGCAGTGGGTGGATTAGGGTAGCTTTACAATTTCACACTGTGCCTACTGGAGACATTATTGTTAAGGATGTGGTGTTCTGACATGAATTATCCTACAGCTCATTAGCTTTTACTTTGGTTTGAAAGATTGTGTTTCAACAGATGACAAGTTGTTTGTTGTTTTTTTTAAAGGCCACATCTCTGGATGCAATATGAAATTTTAAAATAGAGAACAACTGCTTTTTTATTTGTGCTGTTACCAGTGACTCTGTTCAGCTTTCTTGAATACTTTTTTGGACAGCTATGTAACATTATCTTCTATACTTCAAAAACGTTTTTCATAATTGGGAATTAAGTGGTATTTGTGTAAGATGACGGCAAGGAGCCATCGATCAGCTTTCACTAGTTTGCTGAATGAGCTACTGATGTATTTAGTCTTGTGCAATGATGCAATCCCTCAAGCTCTTGGTTCACTCATCAGACTGCAGCATTTGGTCCTGGTGAGTATAAATAATGCCCAAAAGACTCAAAGAGAGTGAATTCTCCAGTTACCTTGGCAACAGCAGACAAACCTGAGCCACCTGTGCACAACCATCCCAGCACGATTTATTAGCAACCCCTACCTTCCTGGTTTCTTGTGGTCAGCATTTGGGTCATGTTGGCAACAGAGCATCTAAGTAAAGTCACAATCCATTTAATTTGAGCCTTCGTCTCCCTCTTCACTTTTTAAAAAGCTTGACTTCATAGCTTTACTAGTACTCAAAACCTTTTAACCCACAAACTCCAAAGACAGACTGAAAATAGTCTGATCTGGATTACTTAAATTTCCTATAATGGGGGAAATTAGAAATCTTATGTCTCACATTATGAAGCTGTATTTTGGGAAAACAACTCGACAATCTAAACTAATTGCTCCAATGTGGCTTACAGTAGCTAATTCTATTCACCTCTCAGAATTGCAATTTGGCACTAAAGAGCATAATTACTTTCACAGTATTATTGTTTATACTCTACCTTTTGTCCTGGAGGCCCCTGAGGTCCCTGAAAAGGGAAAACAATTCAATTAGCATAATAATATCACCAATTTCAGCTTAAGTGACCAATTAAAACTGTCCCATTCTATAAACCTTCCTATGCTGGACTGAATCCAGCTGATGTTTTGTGCATCAAGGGAAAGGAAAACTTTCAGCTGAAAAGACACAATGGATCTTTTCTTCTCTTTTCTGAAATAGCATTAAGAATACGCAGTAGGATTCTGATTTCTCCCATTTCTTTTTCTTAAGTCTTTGCTATTCCAGTCCATCTGTTTCTTCAAATACCTGCAAATCTATAGCATCAATCCTACTTAGACAGCTAAACATTTTCTTCAGTTAAAAGGCAACGATGGTCCCAAACCAAAACAGCCATATTATATATTATTTCTGCAGTTAACCTACACAATTTTGGTTGGCATATTTGCAAGAAAAAGAATAAAAAAGCACCAAAGTGAAGTATATTTTAGCTACTGACCTTCCCCATCCTCCCTTCCTTCTGTTAGAAGCTTTTCCAATTACTCTCAGCTGCTAGTGCTTTCTGTTCTAAGGTTATCTTCCTTCTAATCTTTATTGATGCTGTAGAAATCTATTCACGTACATGTCTTCTTCTCTATTAAAATGTAAGCTCCTTAAGTGGAGAGAGATTCCTTTTGTTTTTGACTTCCTTTGAACTGCCAATGCTTAGCTTACTGCCTAGCACATACTAAGCACTTAATAAATGCTCATTAATTGGTTGATGCCTTGCTGAATTATTGATGACTTGTTGCAGTAGAAGGGAATATAGGGAACCAGGAAAAGAAACGGAAGGTGTTACCCATTAACTATACTTGGGCAGGTGAGTGAGGATATTCCTCCTCACCCATATTCCCCCAACAGAATATGCCACTTCTGAGATGCAGTAGTCATTATGATGACAAAGTCAATGATAGTGTTCCGGATGATTTATTTAATTAGAGAAAGAAGAGACTGCTTTGAGGCATCTTGCCAAGGATATTTGTAGGAGGCAATGCAAAAGCATATATGATAATTTGCATATTTCTCTGATTTGTAACACGCAACTTTTTTAGAAATTTTCTGTTCTACCTTCTCAAAAAGTTGTGTTTAGCAAAATGGTAGATAAATCCTTTCCCCATCATTGCAACTACAAATCTCATTGGTCTTCAAGTTGACCAGATACATGTCTTGCTCTTCAAAAGCTATCTCAGATAGTAACATTAAACACAAGATTATCAATAAAAGAAAGCTTAGCTAATGAGGAAGTTAGGAACAATCTCATACTTCATGTTTAGGAACATCTAAATCCTTGTTGCTATCTACTGACATCCAGAATTGTCTCCCACTTTCCTTCATGACAAATACCTGTCCTACAGTCTGTTTCTCTATCCCAACCCATCATCATCATTAGTGATTTCAGTGTCCACTCTGATGAACCTTCTAACACCAAGACTCTCAACTTCCTCAGCTCCCATGACCTTCATCTTCAGCCATGCACAAGTGTGGTCACCATATCTCAGATCTCACCATTATGCAAAACAGATCCATCTCCAAGGTTATAAGCTCTGATATTCCTCTTTCTAACCATAATCTGCTGACCTTCCATTCTTCCCACAACTACATTCCTCCAAAATCTGCTTTGTGGGGACCATGTTCCATCATTTTTTAGGTTATGTCTGACTCTTTGTGAACCCATTTGGGGTTTTCTTGGCAAAGATATTTGCCATTTTCTTCTCTAACTCATTTTATACTTTGGGGACCACAGTAACTTTTTATAGCTTGATCTGTCCCTATTTCCCCACCCATGTTATGGTTTAACTTCCTTTCTTTCATATGTTCAACCTTACAGGAGATCATTTCAATAAAATTTGTCCTCTACAACTGAATCCCTTACAACTTAATTCTTCTGCTAATTCTACATAGACAATACAAAATCCAGTCTGTCTCGTCATTTGCTTTCTTCTTTCCTATTTACAAAGCGCTGGTGGAAGAAGTAAAAATAAAATTATGATGACCACTACAAAGGTATATACTTGAACTTCAAACTGACCCTTCACTGCTGCATGGAAATCCTTTAATGCTTTTCTGATTGAACTATATCCCATCCTCAACTACAGCAGCTATTCCAAACCTTTTTCTTCTCTGCCTTTAAACACTCAATGTCTACCCTCTTTTTCTTAGAAGATGACCTCCATGTCCATGTACTTTACAGTACTGTTTTGAGGAAAGAGCTTTGAAAACCTGAAAGAATTATCTGAAAAGTGAACTATTATTTATTATGACTTTACTGAGTTGAACCTGACCAGATATATTAAAAAAGAGGTGACACCATTTTAAAGGCACTCTGGGACTGATTTTAAAGATGTCTCAGAGGTGACAATTCCATGAGAATGGAGAAAGATCATAGACAATGGCATGACCCAAAAAAAGGTAACTGAGGAGATGCTAGCAACTACTGACCTACAGGGCTACTTTTTCCTGTTTAAAAACTTTCTGAGGATTCTCTCTGAATATAGTCATTTAACCTCTGTCTGTCTCAGTTTCCTCCTTCGTAAAATGGGGATAATAACAGCACATATCTTCCAGAGTTGTTGTGAGGATAAAATGGGATATTTCTAAAGAACTTAGCAAACCTTAAGTGGCTATAAAGATGCTAGCTACTATTGTTATATAATTATTAATAATTACATTACTAATGATATAATTATATCACTACATAATTCTATGATAAATACAATTATGAAATAATATAATAATTTCTATATTAAATATACAATCTAAATTATTTATTAGTAATGTAATCACCAAGTATATTACTTAATATACAAAATGGTAACTATATAATTAATGTATCATGTAATTATTATTATACTTTTTATAAGTGCTAATTAATAGTTATAATTATGTAATATGACATGTTATGTAATTATGATCTATTATAGATATATAATGCTTTACAATATCATTATAACATATTATTATATTATTTTGAGGGCATCCTTAATGACAAGGAGAGGAAGGACCGTCTGGTTTTTGTTGTCAATTTTTTTTTTGTGAGGCACTCAGGGTTAAGTGACTTGCCCAGGGTCACAGAGCTAATAAGTGTCAAGTCTCTGAGGCCAAATTTGAACTCAGGTCCTCCTGACTCCAAGGCCTGTGCTCTACCAACAATCTGTTTTTGAAGATTATTTTCTTCAGTAGTCCACATCGCCATAGTAGCACAATTGACTGAAAGCACATAAAAGCACATAAAAGACCACATTGTGCATGTTGTTTTGTTTATTATAAATGCTGCTTCAAAGGCATGTGTGCATGGGTGTGTATTTAAAATGCAAGACTCATGATAGATTTGTCCACAGCCAACTTTGTCAGTGCTCTGCTGATTATCAGCTTCAAAGCCAAGTATAAAAAAGCACACAAGTGCTAGGTATTTAAGTGCATCATGGAGGATGCCCTGTGAAAGTCCAAGTAAAAGGGGGATTTTTAGATCAATTGAGATGTGCCCCAGGTGTTCCTCTTTACACGTGATGTTGTACTGACCACACCAAGCCCTGGAATGCCATGGGATATTCACAGAGAGATTTATGGTCATTCAAAAGACTTACCATCAACATTGGAAAAATGAAGAGAATGAAGAGTATTTTCTGAAGGTGAATGGATAGCCCATTGGGTTATCCCCACTACATATGTGATAGACAGACGCTGTAAGTGGAAAATGATCTGGGCTCTAAACTGAATAGGAAGAGTGAACTTGGATGGGGTGCTTTTGGGAAACTGTAGTGTACATTTGGGATACACAGAAAGGTGAAACCAGTCCCTCCCTCCAGGAGTTTATATTTGAATGGTCATATCAGAATTGATCCTTTCATAATTCACCATTTTCTCTAGTATGTTTCCTTTTGTACCTCCTCCTCTATCAATAAAGAACCACACATCATATTTATGTGAGATTTTCATGAATTGGATTCTAATCTGAAAAGCAGCAAGTGAGGAGGGGTCAACTGTCACTTTTCATTTAAGGATGTCATAACTTGGAGTCAGGAAGATAAAAGAATTGCTTAAAACCATTCAGATAGGGGCAGCTAGGTGGCGCAGTAGATAGAGCATCAGCCCTGGATTCAGGAGGACCTGAGTTCAAATCTGACCTCAGACACATAACACTTACTAGCTGTGTGACCCTGGGCAAGTCACTTAACCCCACTGCCTAGACAAAAACAAACAAACAAAAAACCATTCAGATAGTCAAAGATGTACCTGAAAATGAAGCTCAGATCTTTGGTCCTTTCATTTATTAGACATAATGTTTTAGTTTTTATTTAAGTTGGTTTTATATCAGGGCATTGCTTAACACATACCAACCAATTTTAAGGAAAGTCAAGGTAAGTGGATTTTGTCAAGGAAATATGTAGGAATAAAGACTGAATTTGGACATTTGTTATTGTGTCCTTCCCTATTTCTGTCAAGGTTTCTAACAGGTCTCTTTTCTCTCAAAATGCTTTTTAGAGAGGAAATCACATATGAAAAATTACATGAATTTAGTGTTCAGACTGAGACTTTATTTATATAACTCAGGAAGTTCAGTTTCCCAGGGTAACCCTAACTTTGAAAATATACTATTCATTAAAACTGGGCCTTTCACATTACATGATTGTATAGCCCCTACCAAGTCAACATTTTATTTGAAAATAAGAGCATAAATGTAACACACTTCTGTCTAACAGAAGACTAGCACATCTGGAATTTTCTAGATGACTATGAAAAGAGATTTAGAAAGGCACAGGAGAGCTATACTATACTCTGAAATTCATGACTGGTGTATATTGAAATATTTATCTCCATTAAAGTATATTTTAATAAGTATTTAATGAAAGGAAATTGAGGACCATAGAGAGAATATAAGTATTCAATTTACTCAGGGGGTACTACTATCATTCATCTCAAAACCCAGCAGACAGTGGGTAGGGAAGCTAGACACACCATGAGGCCTGAATTTGAATGCAAGACTCACTTTCT